ACCCTCTGTTGTGATTCCAGTCAGAGCAGTCAGTGGTGGTAGCCGGGCACCATCTAGCTGTACTGGACTCAGTCTGGTGGAGGTCTTGGTAGCTGTGGTCCATTAGTTCTTTGGACTAATCTTTTCCTTGTATCCTGTTCTCTTCATTCTCCGTTGTTCCCGAACGGGTAAGACCAGTGGAGTATTTTAGATGGCTGATCACAGGCTTTTAAGACCCCAGATGCTACTCACCAACGTAGAATGTAGAACATTGTCTTTATAAACTGTCTTATGCCAGTTGAGCTAGATGTTCCCCGAGACCATGGTCCCCACAGCCCTCCTACAGGCAAAGGATTTTAACAACAAAATTGGGAGGGGGGGTGATTATTTAACTATAATCATACAATGGAATACTATACAGTTGTACAAAAAAAAAAGAATGGGGTAGTTCTCTGTATATTGATATGGAAAGATCTCCAGGATATATTCTTTAATAAAAAAAAAAATTTAAAAAAGCAAGGTATAGAGTAGTATACATAATATAAAATCTTTTTTTAAAAAAAGAAGAAAAAAGAATATATGTTATTTGCTTTTATTTGCATAAAGAAACTTTCAAAGCATTCATCAGAAAGGAATAAAAGTGGCTACCTCTCTGGGAGAAAGGTGATGGGAATTGGGTGGATGGGGGACAGGAACGGGAGCAAGACTTTTCATCTATAAGCTTTTTATTCTTTGACTTTTGAACCATGTGAATGTTACTTCTTAAAGTCATGAAGATTTCTATCATTGCTGAAGGCACAGAACAATTACTCCCAATCCAGTTTTTCAACTGGCATGTAGTAACATATAAACAATGATAAAGATAGATAAAATTTTAAAACTTTCAAAATTATAAGCAGCTATATCATGATGTTTTCATTAGTTTCTTCTCTGCTTAGTTAATTCTAGTTACGCTTCATGGAAATGATCGTAGTAGTAATTCTGTGCTCTATTTATTATAAGCATTATTTGAAAAGTTCATAAAATTTCAGAGCTGGAGAAAAAATAGATTAGTGTATTCCAAAATTGGCTCCACACCACAACCACATAGGGAGCTACCAAACAAGATTATCAGGCCCCACCACAGAGCCACCAAATCAAAATGTGTGGTGAGGGGAGTGGAGAGCCAGACCTGGGAAACTGTTATTTAAAATAAAACAAAACAAAAAGGAAAGAACAAAATCCTCCCTGGGCTGATTTTCACATACTTGTTAGAACCAGTGATCTAGTCCAATCTCCACCCCTTTGCATACACACGAGGGAACTAGGATTCAAAGAGATGAGAAACTTTCTCAAAGTTCTAAAACCAGTGAAGAACAGAGCTAGCATTTGAACACTCATGAACCCCCAGTCCAGTCTTCTTTTCTCAACTCCCTCTGGCCCAGCTGACAGTAAAAGACCCAAAAGAAAAAAGACACGCTATAACGTCACATAGAACTTTTGGTCTCCCTTCTAGCACACTCGGGTTTTGGAGTTCTTCCTTTCCCTTCACCTAATATCACCTGTTAGGTTTTCTTGTTTCTCTTCTTTTCATTTTTCAGTTATGGAGGATAATGGTATGTCTGTCTAATGGCTTGTGAAATATTTTACATGTTTTATACTTTTCCTAGGGGAGGGGAGTAAACCACATTCTGCTGTCCCTGGAAACTCTTACCAGAAGTCTAGAACAGAGATTGGCAAACTATGACATGTGGGCCAAATCTGGTCCACCACCTTTATTTCTCAATAAAGTTTTATTGGAACACAGCCGTGACCACTCATTTTCATATTATCTATAGCAGCCTACTTGCTCCAGCAGCAGTCAAATAACTGTGAAACTATCTGGTCCTTTACCGAAAATCTCTGCCGACCACGGATCTAAAATCTGAAAATTCCCTACTTTTCATTAAGGACAGAGATGGTAATGAGAACCTCTTTTTAGTTATATTGTGATGGTGATTATATGATAGTCATTTCTTTTGGTGGAGAGGATAATTAGCAATAAATAGCTAGAAGAAAGGAAAGAGAAACAAAAGACCTACAAACAAGAGATCTACAAACTAGATAATCAGGCCCTAATTGCATGATAAACATTACAGATATATGAAATGGGGTAACCATCTGGATCTGAATGGGGACCAGGTGAGATCCTGCCTTGCCTCCCAGCCTACCTGTTCTGCCAGCCAGGCAATGTGCTTGACCTCCTTGCTGCCTCCTGCTGTACTGGCTGCACCAAGCATGGCATTGAGTTCTGCCAACACCTGTGGGAGGAGAGCCATTATGTTGGTGTGGATAGCTACGAACCAGGAGTGTGCTGTGGCTGTATCCTTGCATCGCAGAATCAAGGTGTTCCTGCTATCAGGAGAATGTAGCTCTATCAATCTGTGTGGAAAAGAAAAAAAAAGAAAGAAAAAGTGAGCTAGATCAAAAGTTATCAAACCTGCCAGGGTTTTACATATATAATTCAAATCTATTTTATTTTTATATTCCTAGAATAGAGGTACTTTCTCTTAATTCCCTAGTCTATTTCCAGAGAAAACTACATATGGAAGGATAATCATCAGAAAGATTAACTGCTGAATATGTTGTTTCAATGAGTTAATGCAATGATCTAAGATGAAGGAACCTATTGTATAGTCTATAGTAGAATACTTCACTTTGCCTTAATTTCCCTGTTATCAAAATGGAAAGCATACATGTTGAACCTTACAGGTACACTGTAAAGAAAGAATTGATATTTTTTAAAAATACTTAGAAAATTCTGGAATAAGTATTTCCAGATTAAACAAAAAAACTACTGCCAAATAATGAACTGAAATTTCCACTGTGTGAAGAAAAAGAGATTAGTATAAGAATATTACTCTTTACGAAAATTTGGGACTGTTTTTTTAGTGTCTGAATAATATTATATGATTAAACCCTCCACTGAGTCATGGTAGAAAAATAGTTAAGAAACCTTCAACGCTATGAGTGTTTTATATTAGTTAATGGTCAACTGAGAACAATCTATACTTCAAAAGTAACCTTTAGAAATTAACTAAATTTTTAAGTGTACATTGGAAAAATTCCTTTTAAAGCAATTTATTGGGTACTGTTTCATGTTCTGATCAAATTTCTTGCTACCACGAGCTTAAAAAATCAAATAAATAAGTGACTAACAATTATACACTGCTGTGTTCTAATAGTGAACATATATACATATATTTCAAAAAATAAAAGAAAGAAAGCACCTGGCCAAAAGCTATTAGGAGGGTTTTTTGTGGTAGGCTAGAAATTGACAAACTGACAATGGCTAAAGAGAGTTCTCTTTTCTTTCATCTTTCTGAAGACAGTTTCTGCTGTCTTGAAGCACTGTCATCAGATCCTGTACCACCTGCCAAAGGTAAGCAATTTACATGCGCACTAGCATTTCTGCCTTGAAGCTTGCATACCTCTCTAAACCTTTTATAACTCCAAATATTTTAATTTTTCATATTTCATATAGCAAATATTTATTCTCACTTGAACTCTGGCCAGTCTATCCTTTTTTAAATAAAACTTTTACTGAGCACCTACTACATATCAGATATTGTGCTAGACACTGGATTTGGAGATACAGTGGTGGAAAAAACAGACATGGTTTCCACCCTCACTGAGCTTATGATCTAATGGGGGTTGGCAAAAAATGAACAACTAATAAACACACACTTTATAAAAAGTGCTATAAAGGACTATGACAACTACTATAAAGTTCCTGCCTGAAAAAAAAAGGAGGCAGTGTTTTCATAGTATCTAGGATGCAGTTTTATAGAATCTAAGATTTAAGAGCCTTGAACGTAAGATATAGAGCAGCACTGTCCAACAGAACTTTGAGATGCTGGAAACATTCTTTATCTGCACTGTCCAGTTTGGTAGCCACTAGACATATATAGTTATTGAGTACTCGAAATGTGGCTAATATAATTTTACTTAATTTAATCAGTCACAAGTGACTAGCGGCCATCATACTAGACAACACAGATCTAGAGAGCCTTATTTTTTTTCCTTTAAATTTTATTTATTTTGTTGTTGTTGAGAATATACACAGTAAAACATACACTAATTTGAGAGTTTCTACATGAACAATTCAGTGACACTGATTACATTCTTCAAGTTGTGCAACCATTCTCACCCTCCTTTTCCGAGTTGTTCCTCCCCCAGTAACATAAATTCACTGCCCCCCCTAAGGTTCCTATCTAACCTTCCGAGTTGCTATTATCAATTTGATCCCATATAGATAGTTCTTAAAAGATTGAGAAATACTGATCTAGTCTGATCACCTCATTTTACAGATGAGGGAACAAAGGCCTGGAGAGATGCCTTCCAGAGAAGAGAACTGACTAGGTCCAAAAGTACTCCAAGAGAGTGGCAAAGCACGACTGCAAGAGAACCTCCAGACTTGTAAGGCACACTTACCAAGCTGGTCTCATGCTATAAGACTGTTTATAAACACATTTACCCAGTACCTACCTACTCACTCACCACCTGTCCTCCCACTGGAGTTACCTATCTAGCTACCTGCACACCTAGTCATTAGTCTATCCATCTTTTACATGCCTTTGAAGTTCTAGGACAATAAACAAATAGGACAAAAATTCTAGAAAGCAATCAAAATATACAATAAGATCTGTGAACAGCCAAAACACTTAACAAAGTCCATAGCTGAAAGCTCATATTACTCAGAGGAAAGTCTTTAGATAGCAAGTCAAAAGTGATTTTCTTTCATGTTAGATGTAGTTCTGATGGATTTATTTATTGGATTTCATATTATATAGCTAAATATAGTGAAAGGTAGATTGAGGCTAGAATTTAGAGGGTCTTAAATGCCAAGTTAAGTCTTGATATTAACCGCTAAGCAACATGAATTCACTGATTTCTGAACAGGGAGCAACATGATCAAAAACAATGAATTAAAAAAAATTATTTTAGGGTGAGGTGTGAGATGGATTACAATAGAGAGAGAAATGGCCTGGGGGGATTTAAAATTGTACCTGAGAGGGATGAGATTACACAGAGCTCATCAGTAGAACACAGACTCTTAGGCAGGTGTTCCCTCATCCTAAAAGCCCAGGGAAAGGCAAAAAGAGCTTCCTGACAAATGACTTAATATTCGTATTGACATTTATTTATTTTCTGGTTGCTCTTTCCAACAACACACGTTTTTGGTTTTTAATACCTATACATTTATAAATTAAAACAATTACTCATAAAATCATTCAGTAATAAAAGGGTTGTTGAATGAACACAGAGCTGTGAAACTGGGATTCTGAATGACGACTGTAGTCATATCAACCACAGTCCTCAACTGTCTCAGTATTTTTTTTAATTTTATTTATTTTGTTGCTGGTGTTGAGAATATACACAGCAAAACATACACCAATTCAACAGTTTCTACATGTACTACTTAGTGACATTGATTACACTCTGAGTTGTGCAATCATTCTCACCCTCCTTTTCTGAGTTGTTCCTCCCCCAGTAACATAAATTCACTGCCACGTAAGGTTTCTATCTAATCTTACGAGTTGCTGTTATCAATTTGATCCCATATAGATAGTTCTTAAAAGAGTATAATGCTCAAGGCAGTATACTGACCTTTATTTAGCCCTCTATTTTATTTTATAATATTTATTCTTTTGAATGTTATTTTTCACTATTTCAACTGTTGCTGCTATAGTCCTTCAAATAAATATTTGTTGGCTAAAAATTTGATTACATTCTCTAGAATTAAGATGAGCTATACAGTTATAGGAAGATTTAAAATAGTCACTACACCATATAACAATAAAACATTGCACTAAAAGGGAGAGAATCATCTCTGTTAGAATCCTTTTGATGATTTAGTAACTATATTATTCAGAGAAATTGCTCAAATAGTCATTAAAGTAGTTAAACTTCAGAGTGAATTTATTTAATGACAACTAGTTATCTATGAAATACAATGCTAGATTAGGCAACATATAAATACAAACCAAAAGCAAGTTATTCTACATTCTTCTTATTACTTATACTAATCTTAAAAAGAGAAAGTATTTCTAGAACTTCCTGGATAAGATGGCAAATAAGTGCACACATCTACTCTTATTTCTTCCTGAAACCCCACTAAAAACAACAGTTAAAGGGGATTTTAAAAGGCATAAACCTACAAGTTCAGAGAGAATAGAATGACTACAACAAAATTTTGGAAGCTAGAAAACAGAGGAGTGGTGAATGAGTTAGCCGACCTAAGAAAACTGAATCCCAAGCCAATAATAGGGGGAGCCAAATCCCAGCCAAAGTAAGCTGCAGAATCTCTAAGGGGCTAGGGGACTGGTGGCATCAGTTACCTTTTAAAGTGGGAGTAAAGCACACAGCTAAAATAAAGAGGCTGGTTTCAGCATTCCCCATTCCCAGCGGCCAGTGACTGCCGCAGTTTCATCCCAGCAAAAGATCTACCCTCATCCCACCAAACTGGGTGGGAGAGGCAGTGATGTCCTCAAGTTTAGGCTCTACATCAACAGGCTCATCGTTTTCTACAGGAGCTATTTATCTTCACCTGGTTTGACACTGTAACCAGCTTAACATCCTTTAAACACATGCTAAAAGTTTAGTCACAAAACCATGACAAGGTATTTCCTTCACTCCTCCCACTGACCTAGTTAGCACGAAAGATAGCAATCAGCTCATCTCTAGGCACAAAATGTTCACCTTCTGAAAAAGACTTCACACTTCATTCATACAGTTCCTGGGACAGTCTCTCAGGTGAGTCTCCTTTGACATAGTCTATACCCTGAAAATCCTAGTGTCAGGGATCTTAGTTGTTAATAACTGGAAGAATGGAAAATAAGTCTGTGATAAAATAAAAAACTAAACAGGAGTGGATACTGGGATCACAGGGATGGAAACTGATGAAAATAAGCAGTAAGTTAGGTCCTAGGACAGGAGCACTGATTTTCCATGAAAAGAAACATTTTGTAGTATTTCTTGCAAAGGGATTGTGAGATACAAAATAAAATTAGCAGAAACAGAAAAGAAACTCCAAAATAGGATTGATGATTCTAGAATCCAGAAGAGTCTGCTTTGAAGAAGAAGCCCCTAAAACCAATAATGGGTACAAAGTCTATTTCTGTTTTAAAAGAAAAATTCAAATGAAAACTGCTAATAAAAATATGGAGGCAGCCTGCTAGTAATTGTTTGAGCCTACAGGAAGAGAGGAGGAACAGCCACAATGTGAAGAGTCTGGGCCTCTAGTCAAACCACTAACGCCTTCCTGGGAAATGCAGTTACATTTTGATCAGGTTAATCAAATCAATGGTTAGGTACACAAAAGCATAGGATTCTCTAAGCCTAGCCTACTTAATTTTTTTTCTATCTAGTAAAGTTTTGACACGTGACTTATTAAGTAATACAGTTTTATGTGTCACAGAGCCAAAATTTACCTTTTACATGGAAAACAGGCACGGTGAAGATAACTGAGACATCATTAACTAGCGTAAAGGAAACAGATTTACATTTCCAAACAGCTGTGCTTAAGAACATCTTATTCTCACTAAACTCTACAATGCCCACAATACTGTTTGCTAAGCAATGGACTCATGTTCTCTCCTTGGACTTCATCATTATTTATTTAGCTTTGACTTTCCAGAATGAAACACTTATAATTATCAGAAGCATCTAGTGAGGCTTTGAAAACTCAACGTTGGGGTAAAGAGTAAATGTTGTCCTCCCTCCTTACTACTAATTCCGATCGTCAGCGTTTCTTCCCAGCTCTAGATAATGGAACCAAATCAAAGAAGTAAAACATTTTAAAAAAGGACATTTCCCTCTTATGTCAAATAAGTTTTGGATTAGAAAGTGAAGCCATTACATTAAAATGAAGGATGAATCACAATGGGGTGATGGTTCTGTTCTGTATCTTGAAAGGCTTAGGTTATACAACTGTAAGCATTTGTTAAAACTTATGATTTGTGCATTTTATTTTATGCAAATACCACCTCAAAAGAAAAAATATAAAGAAATTTTGAACTCAGTTATTTATATATATGCTTAAGTATTTTGACAGAAGTGTACTGATGTCTGCAATTCACTCTGAAATGCAGCAAAAATAATTAAGACGGATCGATGGATAGATAGATGGACTGATCTTTGATAAAGCCAGTATAGTAATATGTTAACGGTAGAATCTAAGTGGTGGGTAAATGTTGACTATAAAATTCTTTTGATTTTGCTATACATTTGAAATTCTTCATAATAAGGTATTAAGGAAAAAAGGAAGAATGATGGGAAATTCACGTGTCTATCTAGTGCTTTAAAAACCAGATTCATGAGTATTTTCCAGAATTAGGGAGCATCTAAGCCTATTTCTTGCTCAGAGTTTCACAAGAGATTATGTCGAAGATGATTAAGATTTTCAAGTAGGAATATGGTCAGTTATACAAAGTTGTAATCTGATAAATGCCTTGGTGACAGATGTCCTGATGAAACTTATTTTTGTGGTTCCTACTTAAATTGTTTTTCTCCATGGTTTTAAATGTTGCAGATGTGTTGCCTGTAATGACATTTCCTTTGACAGAGCTGAAATAAATGTAGAGATCAAAGAGCTTCAAGTGATTTTATGGACATTTTATTTTTCTTTGAAATAGTTCTAAACAGTATAGTTGGGCAGGCATTATGTCCACTTTACAGACAGGGAAAACAGGAGGACAGAGAAATTAAGGGACTTATTTAAGGTCACAAGGCCACTAACAGCACCTATAATACTAATATATTTGAGAGTTTACTATGCCAATTTTACAATCATTTTCTCATGTAATCCTTGTGTTGCTATTGTTGTTAGGTGCCATCGAGTCAGTTCCAACTCACAGCAACCCTATGTACAACAGAATGAAACACTGCCCAGTACTGCGCCATCCTCACAATCATTATGCTTGAGCTCATTGTTGCAGCCACTGTGTCAATCCATCTTGTTGAGGGTCTTCCTCTTCTTCGATGACTTTACCAAGCGTGATGTCCTTCGCCAGGGACTGGTCCCTCCTGATACCATGTCCAAAATATGTGAGACACAGTCTCACCATCCTTGCTTCTAAGGAGTTCTGGCTGTACTTCTTCCAAGACAGATTTGTTTGTTCTTCTGGCAGTCCATGGTATATTCAATATTCTTCACCAACACCATAATTCGAAGGCATCAATTCTTTTCGGTCTTCCATACTCATTGTCCAGCTTTTGCATGCATATGAGGTGACTGAAATACCATGGCTTGGGTCAGGTGCACCTTAGTCTTCAAGGTGACATCTTTGCTTTTTAACACTTTAAAGAGATCTTCTGCAGGTCTGCCCAATGCGTCATTTGATTTCTTGACTGCTGCTTCCACTGGTGTTGATTGTGGATCCAAGTAAAATGAAATCCTTGTATAACCTTCATTTTATATAGAAGCAAAGTGAGGCTTAGAGAAAACAAATAGCTTGGTCAAAATTACAAAGCCCATCTTCCTAACTTCTATCTTCTAACTCTTATAGTCAAGATTCTGTTAGACACTGGGTTCTGAATCTTTTTTCCGCCAAGACACAAAGGACAGATGTATACTCCCATGGGTATAGCCTAAGTTATGCATAATTCCTGCCAGCTACCTAATTCTACTGTTTTTCTTTTTCTCTAGAAAGCATGCTGGAATGCAAGTAAAGTGATACCATGATAGGAATAACCTTGAACCTCTTTCAGTTTACATTTAAAAAAAGGCAAATCAATTTGAAATTTCAGTATTTCAACTAAAATTAGAAACAAATTTCTTTGCAGCATTAAGGCTGAGAATCTGCACTAGCCTGGATATTCTAAGACCTTTCCTTGACATATAGTACACCATGGTCAAGTAGACTGACCACCTCAGAAAAGTAAGGTGTGACACAACTCTTGCAGCCCAAACTGTCCTCTCCATTGGCTCTGTAGACTTATTTCAAACCTGACTACCCACCAGATGTCTTTAGCATTTAAATATGCCAAAGAGGGTACTGCCTCCAAGTTTTAACAAAGGCTTAACCTTTTAACAAAGGCTAACCTTTTAACAAAGTTTACCGGCTCTAAAAGGTGTCTTATTTTAGATGGTAAAACAATACAGCTTTAAGCAAAACAGCCAAGTCATGTCACCTTCCTCCTTCCTCATCTCCCAACTCCCTACAACCCCAAGGTTCTACAGAAACCTTTTAAACTTTGCCCTTTTTCCAATACCCAGCTACATCAGCAGCATTATAGGATCTAGTCTCAGAAATGACTTTACAATGAAAGAAGCTAGTCTGAACACTTTCCTTAGCCTGACAGCCAGCTGATAAATTTAGTTGCTATTTGTTCCTCTTTATCACATTGTTTCTCTATCTTATTTCCTTGTTTTCATTTCCTTCTATGGCACCTACTGCCTAACTTTTTTTTTTTTAAGTCCATTGCTTAATAGACCAAAACCAAAAAAAAAACAAAAACACCCCAAATCCATTGCCATCAAGTTGATTCTGACTCATAACTGACCAAAGGCTCTATATAAATGTATCCCATTTGAAGAAAAAGTTTTAAATCTGGATTTAAGAGGGAGAAGTGATTACCTGCTGCACAAATTAAATGCTTATTTAGGAAATAATAAATACAGGCTTTCTTTAAATATCAAGCTATGCTGCATTTAGATATGATTCAACTCACACTCATGGGGACACCATGAGTCAGAATGAAATGACTGGACAGCAACTGGTTGGTTGTTTGGTTCAACACACATAGAACTTTTCGGAAATAAATCTATAAGTAACACGAAGTAATTTCTACAGTGTCTCAAGTTTTTAAAAAAGCAAATAAAATACAAATATATCAGAATATAATTTTATAAAATGTACATACATAGTTGTCAGTTAAGACTTATTTAAGTGACTATTTCTCAAGAATCTAGTATGTGCTTTGTTCTGAAGGAAGGGTTTCATATGTATTATCTCATTTAATCTGAAGCATATCACACATTTACTATAGAGTAGGAGCTGTAACGTCCCTATGGCTTTAAATGCCCAAGAAGGTTACTCATCTTTTGGCTGTCTTCTGTGCTCCATCCCACCCTGATTAGTTACCTGGCTGTGCATTAAAATCAGAGGAGACCTCAAGAGTGAAAGCACATTATAAAAAAGGTCTATTCTTAACCATGCCTTTGAAGCTCTATGTCTTTACACAAGTTTTTTTATTTTTATTTTTTTCCCCTCCCTAACCTCCAACTAACAATATGCCTACCAGTACTACTTCATGGAATTACTGAAGACAAAGTCATAGAACACAAATGGTTATAGAACTAGGAAGGCCATTAGAAATTATCCAATCTACTCGCTCATTTTGCAAAAGAGGAAACTGAGGTCAAGAGAAGCTAACTGGCCAGGGTCACAGTGCTAGTTGTCTCAGTCAGATCAAAAATGCAGATCTTTGACTCTTTATGCTATCCATGGTATAAGAAACTTCCATCTAAGGAAACATTTTAAAAAAATTCATCAAGTTTTTATTCAATTATAAAGTAATACATGTTCACAGTGAAAAAAATAATTACCAGTACAGAAAGGTGTCTACAGTACAGAAAAGTGTTTAAAAAGCAGATGTCACCTTGAGGACTAAGGTACACTTGACCCAAGCCATGATATTTTCAATCACCTCAGCATGTGAAAGCTGGACAATGAATAAAGAAAACCAAAGAATTGATGCCTCTGAATTATGGTATTGGTGAAAAATACTAAATATACCAAGAACAAAGAAATCTACTTGGAAGAAGTACAGCCAGAATGTTCCTTAGAAGGGAGGACGGAGAGACTTCATCTCACATACTTTGGACATGTTATCAGGAAGGACCAGTCCCTGAAGAAGGACATCATGTTTGGTAAGGTAGAGAGTCAGCAAAAAAAAGGAAGACCCTCAATGAGATAGTCTGACACGTGGCTGCAACAATAGGCTCAAACACAGCAACAACTGTGAGAACTGTGCAGGACCAGGCAGTGTTTCTGTTGCACACAGGGTCACTATGAGTCAGAACTGATTCAGTGGTACCTAACAACAACAAATAGGTATAAAATGAACACTAGAAGCCCTTTCTTTCTTCCTACCTTCTAATCCCATTTTATTCCCCAGCGGTAGCCACTATTAATAGTTTCTTTGTGCCCATTCCAAAATTTCTATCCATATACATGTATGTGTACATATGTATATTTGTGAATATGTATTTAAACATGAAACTACAAAAATGACTCTTTCTTCTTAGATTGAAGTTTTCCTAATATAATTTAGTCAGAAGAGTCATATAATATTGCAACATGTCCTTAAAGTTTCAAAGCTTAAGTACAATGTTCTCCTTATGTACAGCTCACCTGTTTTCCAGATCTGGCATGCTCAGGTTTCTAGCAGCAAAGCACATTTTGAGAGGAATGACTTTCCTGTCCTTGGTGCTGTTCTGGTGTTTTGGAGAACCAGAGTCCTCACTGCCACTAAAGTTTGGTGACTGGGGAGCAGCGCCTTCCCATGGCAGATCTGATACTAATGATGGCTTCTTGATATATGGTGTCACTTCCCGGATGAACTTGACTATGAACAAAAATCAAGGCAAAGAAGAAGGTTAGTATTTTTGCTTTTTCTTTTTAAGTTCAATTTCAGGACTCATTTAAAATACTTTTTCTTTTACCCCAGTCATTACTGGCAACTTTTGTCATTCAAGGCATGGCACTCTTATTTCAAATGCTAGATAAATTGAAAGTTTTCTTTTAATCGTATGTAGCATTAAAAATGTAAATAATAAGCAGGAGAAAAGTGGGATGCAGAACTCAAATTCTAGCAAAAAGACAAGACTTAATGGTCTGACAGAGACTAAAGTGACCCCAGAAGACATGGCCCCCGGACTCTCTGTTAGCCAAAAACTAAAACCATTCCCAAAGCCAACTCTTCAGACAAAGATTAGACTGGACAATGGGACATAAAATGATACTCGTGAAGAGTGTGCTTCTTAGCTCAAGTAGATACATGAGACTAAATGGGTAGCTCCTGTCCGGAGGCAAGATGAGAAGGCAGAAAGGGACAGAAGCTGGTTGAATGGACACGGGAAATCTGGGGTGGAAAGGAGTGTGCTGTCACAGTACAGGGAGAGGAACTAGCGTCACACAACAATGTGTGTGTAAATTTTTGTATGAGAAACTGTAAACTTTCATTTAAAGCACAACAAAAAAAAGAAAAAAATGTAAATAAACAGTTGAATATAGATGAATCAGTCATCATTACCTCTGCTAACATCAAGAAATGTCACATCAGAGGAATGCAGCCCTGCTGACACCTCGGTTTTAGCCCAGTGAGACTCAGAATCTGACCTCCATAACCGTAAGATAATATATTTGTTTTTTTTTATGCCATGAAATTTGTAGTAATTTGTTACAGCAGCCATAGGAAACTAATACACCTGGTTATCAAATACCAGAGTAGCTTATTTTTAAAAAAATGAAAAAAGAAACATTACATCAGGATTTTACCTCTCTCTCAAATTCTAATGTGGTAGGTCATTACAGTAGCATCACAAGAATTAAAAAACTAAAAAGATACAGTCATTATCAAATAATAGTTTATATTAATATTCTACAGCATTAGAAGCTTTACAAGCCTATCAAACTTTTATTAACCTATAGATTACTAAATCTAAAAGAAAAAAATCAGGATATATTTCTTGAAACATAGCTAACAACAGTCTTCAAAATATTTTGTTGAAATTAAAATTTTTTAACAATAATCAGTAGAAGAGGCAAAGTTATTATTCTTGTAAGTTATTAAACAAGATCTGCTGAAATTAGCATGATACTGAAAATATAATAAATGCTAATGCCAGCATTTTGATATAGTTTGTGTGTGGTTGTGTGTATGTGTTTTCTATGCTTAGTTACAACACGTGTACTTCAGGGTGGAGAAAGCGAAAGCCAGCTGCCTCGGGGCACCAAGGAAATTTTTTCATCTTAGAAAAATGAGCAGGATGCAGTTAGTGTATATATATATATGTATATATATATATATATATGTATATATACATATATATATATATATATATCCCTTGAGCTGCTGACTCGTGCATTTCAATACATGCCTTAGCTTTGTGCTTTCAAGAAAGGATTAGATCACAAGAACTTTGGCAGAAATTCCTACAGTTTCCAGTCATTGCCAATGGCAGAGAGTTGCTTTTGGAACATTTAAGGCAGCATACCACCCACTGGGCTACCAACTGGGGGAAATTAAAGACATTTTAAATGACTGCTATTGAGTATTATAGAGATTAGAAAAGGCCTCTTAATGATCTACTCAGAAGTTTATTCAAGTCCCACAGTAGCATTATTGAATTGATACTGCACGTAATTAAAATAAGGAAATACACAACCTAGAAGATGGCCTTATTAAAAGAACAATGAATTTCACCTGAATTGATGATGTTTCTCCTCAGTTTCATTCCAAGCCCATACCTCCATCTAATTAGACCAAGACCTCCATGATGGCTAGAGAACTGTGAATAGCAATGTGTTTCTAATTTACATGAGACTTGGGGAGGGCAGAAGGTTAACAGCCTTGTTTTAGTCGTATATTACCCCAGTTGGATCTCCCACAGGGCCTTAACCTGACACCTGGCTGACTCTGGATTAGTAGAGCCTTTACATTCCCACATGACATTCAGGTCACCTCAGAACTCATGATATATTTCAGAATTATTTCACTTTTCCCAGTAGTTAATCTTCAGAATATTTAATCAAACACTGATGTTTGCAAAGCATTTTAGGTGTTTAGATGCTGAAATTAATTTTCTTTTTTCCAAGCACTGATCACTCTACTTAAAAATAGAAGGGGCTTCACCCCATCCTGAAAGCATCACTATAACCTCTTCTCCCTTTAGAATTATAAAAACATGTACATGTACTATACATATACCTGGAAAGATGTCTAAAAGAATGTTCCTCAAACTATCAATAGTGCTTGTTATATACAAGTGGTGGGATTGCCTTTGATTTTTTAAACATAGTTTTGTATATCTGAAAATGTTATAAGTCTATATTATTTATACAAAAAAAATTTTTTTAATGAAAAAATCTTATTCTAAAACTTTGCTGAAGTTTTAAACATGGAACCACCTTAAAATGAAATCTTGTTGAGCCTTCAAAAACTATAGTGCACTAGTTGGGATCCAAGATCCGACTGGTTCTTACTGAATTCCACAATCTAATGAGTAAAGTTACAGTGAGGTCCATCTATTTTAAAAAGGACCCTGCTATCTTGGTTTGGGGCATTAGGCTGCGTCTGATTTTAAACTGAATGCTATTTATGTGGCTTGTAAAAGCTTATCCAAAAGGTACCTAACAGTACAGAAAAGCCTATGGCTGTAAGGACATATAATTGGTAAACTCATCACCCTTATGAACATTTTAAACATCTCAGTTTAATCATTATTTTCCTCTTTAACTCTTTTTTTTTTTTTTTCCTTACCTCAGCTAGTGACCTTTACTATAAGTTTAAATGAAACTACATTTGTCATTGTGGGGAGAATGATGTCATTATCGCCCCTGCTATATGCAAGCAAGTTTGTTTTTGGGTTACCCTTAGGGTGGAATATCTGATTTGGCATTTTGCTTGCAAATGAGTTATGCTGACATCACTGTTAAAGTATTCTCCCAAGAGGTTTCTCCTAAACCTCATCCCAAGCTCCTCTCCCATCTATCATCTCCCTGACAGACGGTCACCACACACATTAGGGAGGAATTGCTTTACTTTCAGTAAAAAGCCTCTTACATTCTAACTTGCAGGCATCTTCTAGCTCAAGTCTCCTGGCCATTTGGGGTTTGAGTAGATTGCAGTGTAGGATTTGGTGACATGAAACCTGAATGTGTTTAGAATGACTCTGGTTTCATTATGGCTTCATTTTAAAGTAACACTGCACTTTCACTAATTTATTGAGCTCCTGCTATGTGCCAGGAACTGTTTTAGTCACTAAGAATAATACATCAGTGAATAAGGCACACAAAAATCAAGGAATGTAATTATTAATAAGTAAATTATATTCTGTTGTTGTTGTGTGCTGTTGAGTCAATTCCGACTCATAGCGACGCTAGGGGACAAAGGAGAACTGCCCCATAGGGTTTCCTAAGCTGTAATCTTTACTGGAGCAGACAGCCAGGTGCAGAGCTGCTGGTGGATTCAAACCACCGACCTTTTGGTTAGCAGCTGAGTGCTTAAGCATTGTGTCACCAGGGCTCCTAATTATATTCTAGAAAAATGAAAACTTACGTTCATGCAAAAGCCTGTACATGAATGTTTTTAGCAGCTCTATTCAAAACTGTCAAAACCTGGGAACAACCCAAATGTCCTTCGATGTGAATGAATAAACAAATTGTGGTACCTCCGTACGAACACTACTCAGCAACAAAAAGGAATGAACTACTGATACATCTAGCAACTTTGATGAATTTCAGATGAATATGCTGAGTGAAAGAAACCAGTCTCAAAAGGTTACATACTGCATGATTCCATTTACATGGCATTCTTGAAAAGACAAAACTATAAAGAACAGATCAGTGGTTGCCAGGGGCTAGGGATGGGGGAAGCTGTAATTATAAAGGGATAGCACAACAGAGTTTTTTGGAGTGAAGGAACTGTTTTATATCTTGATTGTGGTGATGGTTACAAGAATTTATATGTGTTGAAATTCACAGAACTGTATACCGTAAGGGGGAAAAAAGTCAATTTTACTGTATGATTATTCAAAAGAAATTTTAAAGAAGTAAATTATACAGTATGTTAGAAGATGATAAGTGTAATGCAAAAAGAAAAACAGGAAGGGAAAGGGGAATCAGGAGTGCTGCAAGTCGAGACAGTTTGCAATGTTATATAAGGTGGCTAGAGTAAGCCTCATTAAGAAGACATTTGAACAAAGACTTAAAGGAAGTGGGGGGGGAGGAAATAGCGGAGAGGTTAGCCATATGTATATATGGGAGAAGCATTCCAGACAGAGAACATAATGTTAAAGCAGTAAGAAAAGCCAGTGTGACTGGAGTAGGGTAAGCGAGAGGGAGAGAGTAGAAAACAGGGTCCAGAGGTAATAGGGGGCCAGATTGTGTAGGGCCTTAGAGATCACTGTAAGGACTTTGGCTTTTTTTTCTGAAATGGAAGACACTGGGAGGCTTTAAGCAGAGGAGTGAATGATCTGACTTGTATTTTAACAGCATCATTCTAGCTGCTGTGTCAAAAATAGAGTGGAGGAGGCAAGGGCAGAAACAGAGAGACCAGTTGCGAGCATGAAGTAATCTCATTAAAACCAAACTTTGCTATCTCAATAGGTGAAAAATGGCATATATGCCCACCCAATCTTGATCCCCTGCCTCAACAAATGCAGGCTGTTATTATTTTCTTCCCCTTAAAAGCAGGAAATCCATGCCTCTTTATACTTTTTTGTTTTTCCTGAAGAGTTGAGAGGAGTCAGAAGCAGCACATATGCTTGTAAGATGGGATTTCAGTGTTTTCTGATTTTAAAAAGTAAGTGTGGTTTATGCTGGCCTTAGGATTTTCAATTCAGT